ATATATATATATATATATATATGTGTGTGTGTGTGTGTGTGTGTGTGTATGGTTATACATACACATATATGTAGTTGTTTTATTGGTGTTTGGCTTAGTGTTATGTTAGAATCATTATTATACTCGTATACCTTTTGTTCTTTAATATTTTGAATTGTTTTTATGTTCTTACATTACAAAATTATGGCTAAATCCAAACCCCTGTAGTTCCTTCAATCAACAATTTGATGAGTCACAAACTTTGCAGCTCTCCCCGGATTGCTTCCAACATGAGGACTGCATTGACATCAAAGCTTTTATCTTGGGACAAACAGGCAGAAAAAGCCTAAGATGTAACTGAGGGGTGACTAATAGCAGTATTCTGTTTCCATTTTCACCCAATTTATTTTTTCTTCTCCTATAGGTTTGACTCTGCCTGACAATGATTGTGTGTTTGGTTTTGTTAGGTGTCAGTATTTAGCAGATTAGCCTAGCTTCCCTTGACTAAAATAAGACATACAGTTTTCACTAAGGGACACATCTGAAGTAAACGTATATTCAAATGAGAAAGAGAAGATGGAAAGCAATAGACACAAATACAGCAACAAAGCTGCTGAAAACAAGATATATAACACGGATGCTTAGCCCCTGCTGGTGAATTACACCATTATGTGTGCAAAACAAATCTTTTAGCCAGGGATGGATATTCTTAATGATACAATTTGTGTGCAACATATATACAGCAATAAAAAAATATTTATATTATAGTAGATGTTTTATCTTTTTGGAGTGCTCAAAACCATGTGAAAAGGATTTATATTTTTCTTGCACTTTCAGAGCAATCAGTCACATGGGTTTTACAGCCTGGTGATTGGCTAAAACACTAACTCTGCAGGTATAATAAAACTTCAGTATGGGTTTGCTAATGTTAAGAGAAGGATGTATGACTGAAGGGGTCGGATTTAGAGGGTAGGTCTTGTGGTAGTTATATCAAGACATCAAACATTGCTTAAAGCAAAATGTCATTTGTGTTGGTGCATACTTGATGCAGAACAAACTGTAAATGATGACTGTGTTATAAATTCATGAAGTGCAAACCTTAGCCTGAACCGTGCTGTCGTTCAAGGCATTCTTCAGAGCGTGAGTAAACCCTCGAGGGAGATTCTGCTTCAAAATACTGTCTAGACGACTCCTCCGTAACTGTACGGACAACACTGTCATTGACAGGGGGAAAAATGAAGTGAAAAATGCATTGAAAAATATAAGGTTATCGATTACATTGTAAATTTATGTAATACTAATTCTGTAAGGCATTTGAATACACCTATTTGCAGTGCTCACTGAAATTTACAGTAGTGCTGTAGTCAGGATCAGTTCATCCAATGCCCTGTTTACACCTGGTATTAAGATGTTTAAGAATCCTGTCTCCTTTTACGCTCATAACTAAATTGCATGAGCTTATTTTGCAATATTAGATTTAAAGATCAGAAAAAGCCCATACATACACCCACCCATAGACTCTTCCCTCAAAGAAATTGAAATAAATAGTGAACAAAAGAGACTGATTAAAAAACAGGTATAAACACAAATGTGTCTCCTCAACTTGTTATGACCCGATCAACCATAATCTTAATATCAACTGTAAACAGGGCCCAAGTCAAGACCAGAAGAAGGTTAAGTTCAAGTCAAGACCTAGTCCACATGCTCCCAAATCCATCATGGAAATATGCTCTTGGACTCGAGATCAAGTCAATTATTGAGTAATGTAACACTGATTCAGTAGCACCTACATGTGCTGTCATGATAACAAATAGCTTTCAACATTAATTAAACATGTGCATGTAGATTTATTCAGCATGAATGATGACAGCAGTGGCAGATGACAGTAAATGTTGTAGTACTTGAAACTGAACTCAATCCTGAGTTCGAGTCCAAGACCATATTTTCAGTTTCTTGGTCTTGTCAATGACTTGGGAACATGTGGACTTAACTAGGAATCAACCACTTCTGGTCTCAGTCTTGACTCAGACTTGAATGATTACAACACTGATTTAAAGTACAACAATTTTCTGTAATTTCATAAAGATCACCATTTGATCTGAGCAATCACACCTGTTTTTATCCACATCTTGTCAGTAATGTTACATCTTAGCATTGAGGCCTCAGTAGCAGCAGCTCTGGGAATTCCTAAAGTGCTTTTTGAAGGGTCCAACTTAGCGCTCTGTGAGGTGGAGTCAGGCAGGATTCTAGTTGTTGTCTTTGGAGATTGTGTAGTTGTAGTTCTTATTGTTGTCCTAGGTGTTTTGGAGTGTCGTTTAGCAGCAGATGATTGGGTAGTGCTAATCTGGTTTGTGGTTGTTGTAAAGGGGATGCTGGTTGTGGTAACAGTATTGCTGTTAAATATTGTAGGTTGAGACACAATAGTGCTTGCATTTTCTGGTCGTTCTCGTTGTGTGTCCACAGATGTAGCTGAAGATCTATTGGGTGCAGCAGTGTTTTTCTGCTCAGGCGAAATCAATCTGCTAGAATCAGGGTCTGCAGCTCTGGATGTGGCTGCAGGTGCCACCAGCTCAGATATCCACTGAAACTCTGAAACAACAAAACACTTGAGATGAGAAAGGTGCGAGGTGACTGTAGAAAATCTGAGGACAAAGATGGTGAAGTGATGATTATAATGATGGTGATGACAGTGATTGAAGGGATACTTCACCCAAAAATGAAAATTCTATCATTAATTACTCACGCTTATGTCATTCCAAACCTGTAAGACCTTCATTCATCTTAGAAACACAAATTAAGATATTTTTGATGCATTCCGAGAGCTCTCTGACCCTCCCATAGACAGCAAGTATCCGTACACTATCAAGACTCAGAATCGTAGCAAGGAGATCGTTAAAATAATCCATGTGACATCAGTGGTTCAACCGTAATTTTACGAAGCTACGAGAACACTTTTTGTGTGCAAAGAAAACAAAAATAACGAATTTATTCAACAATTCATCTCCACCGCGTCACCCAGAGTATCACATACGTAAACAATGTATGCTGTTCTGTGTCAGCAGTTTACGTTGTTTACGCTTTGATCTGAATGTAAACAACGTATCCGCGTACATACGTTGTTTACGTATGTGATACTTTACTAAATGTGCTATAGGGTGACGCAGAGGAGACGAATTGTTGAATAAAGTCGTTATTTTTGTTTTCTTTGTGCACAAAAGGTATTCTTGTAGCTTCGTAAAATTACGGTTGAACCACTGATGTCACATGGATTATTTTAATGATCTCCTTGCTAAGTTTCTGTGCATTGATCGTGGCAATATCCTTGCTGTCTATGGGAGGGTCAGAGAGCTCTCGGAATGCATCAAAAATATCTTAGATATTTTCAAATTTGTGTTCCCGAAGATGAATGAAGGTCTTACGGGTTTGGAACGACATGAGGGTGAGTAATTAATTACATAATTTTCATTTTTGGGTGAACTATCCCTTTAACAATGACGATATTAAGTGCATAACGGTAATGTAATAAGGTCAGTGATATTTAATGTCAGTAATCAGAGATATTTATTTGTTCTAACAACATATATTTTCATATATTTACATGACAGCATCTAACATGAAGGCATTTTAAGTATGAACAAATCAAATGTTTATGAATCTTTTTAGGTACATCAAATACTGATTTAATGTGATTAATATGGTTGAAAAAATATATGTGAAACAGGCATCAAATAACTTTTGAAGCTGCTTTGACAGCCTTTATAAGACAGCTACTTAATTTACCTGGAAAGGTTTCATAAAAAAAATCACACAGCAACAGTAATACTTAAGTAATAAGATCACAGGTGTGTGTTTATAGAATATTTTACAACGGCTTTGAATTTAAATATATTTACTAGTAAACATGTATAATACAAATATAATATAGTGGACATGTAAAGATTTTTAAGTTTCTAAAGCTTTCCATACATAAAACTTTTAACCGAATCTTACAGGAAATTATAACTATTTTATGAAGCTGAGATTTTGTATGAATTTGTTTGTTGTGAATCATACAAAAACATACATTTATAGGGGGAAAAAAGTAAGTGTGAATGTCCACCCCTAACCCCACTCTTAAACATGCCTGCCACTGGCAGATTGTACGAAAATGTACTAGCAAGATCATACAAATTCACACGAATCAGCCACCAATTCAGCAACACAAAACTTTTCTTGTTCTTTATTGAAAACTTTTGTTTCAGATGCTGTAAATAAGTCCATATTGCACATTTCAGCATATGTGCAGTAAAAACATTGCATATGAAAAGTCGCTTTTTTTGCCTGAGATTAAGTTGAGTTTTAAAGTAAATTATATTTTATTTAGGAAAATAAAGGTGGAGGCCTCAGGTTTACAAGTACAGTATAACAAAAGCATGATCATTATTGATATTTCTATGAATAGCATCTGATTCGAGGTCACTTCAGAATACCTATTATATCACAGTCATCTTATAAACACATCAGTTATCAAAGACGTCTATCTCAGAATAAATGTGCAAGTAGGCCCATTTTCAACTAAAATTTACTATTTACATATTTATACATCAATGCTATCATGGAATCCTAGATATTGTCTATCTCTCTGCCATGTACTGCAATGGGAGACATTACGTAATTCTCTTTTCTGTGAGGTATTTTGAAGAGGGATTCAGTCTGATCAAAGTGCCTAGTCACTGCATTGTCACTGGCACAGTGCCTAGTCACTAGCATGAAGTGAGTCATTTCTGATCAGGGTTTTGATATAAAAACAGTATAAATACCTTGAGTTTTCAATGACCCTACAACTCTCTGTGGACCTGGCAGCCTGTCCATTTTGATCCTTTGAACTGGGAGTCGTCTCTACAAGGAGATGTCATCAACAAACTGACCAGGTTTGACATTAGTCTTTTCTCTAAGTGCATTTCCAGGTAGCTTTGTTTGGGTCATTAAATAAATAATTTACAGCAAATGCATCAAGAATGTGCTTCAGGTTGAAAATGCATGCTTCAGGTTGACTACCTGCAGAAAACATGCAATTGCTTCAGAACATTGAAGAAGGGTGTGTCATAATGTAGCTTGACCTTGTGTACAGCATTAGAATGTAAATGCCGTGTTCTAGATAAATAAATAAATAAACTGAAAACTTTGATTCTGCACTCAAGTCAAGGAGTAGATAGATGTATTGTAAGAGGGGCGTGGAATGTTTTTAAATATTGTTCTACATTTAAATATCTCACACTGGTTACGTTTACATGCACAATTTTTGGTTCAATCAGACTGAATTCATTCCGATTGATGAATCTGAATGTAGTGTTTACATGAACGCTAAATAAAGTGATCGGGTTGATGTGCGCGTTTATATGTCACAAGCTTCAAATCGGAATTAATGTTTTTGACATGCGCACACTGCACAAATACAGAGTTGCTTACTGTTTGCACATAATAACCACTCTCATACACGGCTTCTTCATTTGTTTTTAACAGCAGAATTAGTATTTATTAATTTATGGATAAATATGCATTTAAACCGCTTTGCCGTGCTGTTCATATTTATCACGCAGTAAAAATGCTACTCCCCGCGCCCCAAAACGGGTTGCCTGTGGATGAGAATCCAAAACAAGGACTGGTGGGAGGTTGTCCTGCTCCACTTCACAGTTGCCAAGTGAAAGGAGAGTTCCCTTTCATAGGTTCACTTATGAACGTTGCGATGACGTCATCGCTATGGGAATACCTCCGGTGTGACGAATGTCTGAAGCCCTTATACCATCACGCCAATTCATTGGCCAATAGCGCTTAGCACCGCCCCGAGCATACATCACGTATGCTCATTTATGCGTGCTGTGCGCTATTTCATCAGATTTTAACCCTCTTAGCGCCAAAGTCGCAAAATTGTGACAAGACGTCATACTTAATCAAATGGAAGTGAATCCTCTGTTGACCGTCGGAAAGAGATTCTTGTGTTCTAAGCCATCTATTTATTTAGAGCAGTTTACTCCGCTAAAGCGGACACAATGAGTTTTCCGGTATGTATGGATGCATGTTACACGGACTCACGAGGAAACAGGTAGGAAGACCGCTTCGCGGCCTTTATCTATTGTTGTATCCGTGATATCTGTGTTTGTAAGTAAAGTTGTGCTCTGGGCTCGCTCTCTTTCTGAGGAAGGAGAGATGTTCGTTCAACCCCCGCTGTTCCAGTTCTGCGGTTGCCGAGGTTTTTCCCCTCTCTCTCTAACGTTACCTGCTGTGCTGTACTAATGCAGACACGTTCATTTGATTTGGTGCTTATGCTTCCAACTCTTGTTCGTGTACTGTTTTTAAACGCAAACTCTGAGGAGTCCTGCAGCAAATGTTTGTTGTGTACTATGATTTTGGCGCTTCGTGCTACCAAGCATTAGTTGCCCAACTACTTCCCTCAGCTCCGCTGCTGCGTTGAGCTGAAACAAGTGGAAGAGCTCACGTGTTTCAGAGTATTCTTATAGCAAGCTATAACAGTGAGCTGGCGGTTTTCCCCCTCTCTCTCTAACGTTACCTGCTGCGCTGCACTGATGCAGACACATTCATGTGATTTGGCGCTTACACTTCCAACTCTTTTTTTAGACGCGGACTCTGAGGAGTCCTGCAGCAGATATTTGTTGTGCACTATGATTTTGGCGCTTTGTGCTAGCAAGCATTAGTTGCCCGACTATTTCCTTCAGCTCCGCTGCTGCGTCGAGCTGAGACAAATAAGTGGATGAGCTCACGGATAAGAGCATTCTTATAGACAAGCCGCTTATTGAAAGCTATAACGCGGGCTCTAGCGTGAGCAGATGGTTTTGCCTATCTCTCTCTCTCTACTTGTGGCACTGCACGAATGCAGGCACGTTCATTTGAATTGGCGCTTACACTTTCAACTCTTGTTTGTGTTAGGTGCGGACTCTGAGGAGTCCTGCAGCAGATGTTTTGTCGTGCACCATGGTCTTGGCGCTTCATGCTACCGAGCGTTGGTCTGCCCGAGTAATATAATATTTCTTTCAGCTCTGCTGCTGCGTTGAGCTGGAACATTAAGTGGCAAGCTGTTTTAACATTAATGCTATAATGCAGATGGGTTTTCCTATCTCTCTCTCTCTCTACTTTTGCGCTGCACTAATGCAGGCACGTGCATTTGAATTGGTGCTTACGCTTCCAGTTCTTGTTTCATGTACTGCTTTTAGGCGCAGACTCTAGGAGTCCTGCAGCAGATGTATGTCATGCATTACGGTCTTGGCGCTTCATGCTACCAAGCATTAGTCTGCCCGGCTGTTAATTTTTCTTTCAGCTCCGCTGCTGCTTTGAGCTGGAACAAATCAGTGGGCACGCTCGCATATCTAGAGTAAATTCCTATGGCAAGCTGTTTTACACCTAATGCCATAGTGACTCGGGCTGCAGAGTGAGCAGGGTTTTACCTGTCTCTCTCTACTCCGGCACTGCATTAATTAAGGCACGTACATTGATTTGGCGCTTACGCTTCCAACTCTTGTTCATGTGACTGTTTTTAGGCACGGGCTCCACAGCCCACATTTGTCGTGCGCTATGGTTTTTTGGCGCGTCATGCTACCAAACACTAGTCTGCCCGTCTAATAATTGTTATTCTTTCAGCTCCACTGCTGCTTTGAGCTGGAACAAATAGTGGACTCTGTGCTATGAGCTGGCTCTGTGGAGTTTTGCAACACACATTTGTCGTGCAACATGGTTTTTGGCACTTCAGGCTACCAACACTATTTGCATGACTAATCATTATTCTTCTCATCCCAACTGAGTTGCCCTACGCTGAGCTACTGTGTGAATGAGTTCACGTGTAAGAGTATCTCTTATGGCAAACTATTAAAGGTGGGGTAAGCGATTTTTCAAAAACGTTTTAGAAAACTGATTCGGGCCGACTAGCAAAACAAACTTGTAGCCAATCAGCAGTAAGGGCCCTGTCTACTCATGATGTGGGGGAGAGAGCGTTCACTGCACAGGATGGACATTAGCGAGCCGAGCGACAGAAAGGTAGAGATGGCGGATAAAAAACAAAAGAGGAAAACGTCTGCGGAACAAAAGAGGGCTTAAGGCAATAAGGCAAGAAGTAGGAACCGTGTAAATATCGGATCAGCTTTCCAGCGCTGGAGAGAACTCAAGGAGCAGGTCTGCAATTGGATGCCGAGGTTGCAAATGTCAACATTGGCTACCAGAAATCGCTTACCCCATCTTTAATGCTCACCATTGTCAGCCTACTTCATGTGATTGTTGCGGCACTTTTGCTACCAACACTCGCTTCACATGACTGGCTGCATTATGTGACTGCAGCATACATTATTGTGCACTAGAAAAGTTGGGTGTTTCATGCTACAAAGCAGTGGTTTGCATGACTAATTACTCTGTTCTTTTCAGCGCCGCTGTTGTATTGAGCTGGAACTTTGTATGAATGTGGGCAACCTATAAGTGTGTTTGCCTCTCTATCAGCTGTTCCGCCGCTTGTTGCGTTTCGAACAGATTTTGACCGTTCTCCGCGCCTTAGCTTTTGGAGATCGAGAGGATAGCCCTAAGGCCATTGGTGCAAGGTCTATGTTGACATCCAGGTCCCCACTCTTGTGGTTGGTGCTGGCATGTCTGATTTTAATATTTGTTGCTGTTTCAGAGGTTTTTCCCACAACTCAGGTTTCTTGGGGCCTCATGAGGGAGGATCAAGCTGTCGTATGGTTACATCATCCAGCTTCTATGGCGACCACCCGTTTGGGTTGTCGCCATAGATTTGTTGATTTGGATTTGCGTCACCTAACCTTGTGCTTGGGGTAAGAAATTTCAAGATGCTGACGCAGAAGTTCATCATGTCTCTATCTGAACCGGAGATTGGTTTGTGACCAACGATCTAAGGATGCGTACTTCTTCATCCAGATCGTCAAGAGACACAGGAAGTTCCTCAGGTTTGCCTTTGGAATAAAGCTTGCCAATACTGTATTATTCCATTTGAACTGGCCTCGAACGCAAGGTGAATGGACGCATCTCTGGCCCTGTTGTTGCTCCGGGGTGTCTGAGTTTTGAGTTACCTTGACGATTGGATGATATTAGCTCAATCACACAAACTGTTTGGAGCAGCGTTTCTGGCACTCAAACCATTCTTACCCAATTGAGTGGTTTTCACATTAGGTCAAGGACTGACAACATGGCTGTGGTCTCATACATGGATTGTCAGAGAGGAATATGCTCTCGCCCCCTGTGCAGGTTGGTGAGACGTGTTCTTCTTTGGATGCAGACCAGGTTCCTGTCGATCAGAGCAGTTCATGTCCCGGGTCACCTGAACTCAGGAGTGGACTTACTGAGCGGAGTTGTAATGTGTTCCAGTCTCTCGGCAGAGATTACCGACACTATTCTTAATTCTAGGGCACCCTCCATGAGACGCTGTATGCCCTTAAGTGGACACAATGTGGACCCAGTCCATTACCCTGTAGGGTCCTGCCACTCTTAAGGTTTATGTGGCTGCCATATCTGCTGAGCATTACCCATAGAGGTGTTTCAGCGGGATATCACCCTCTGGTTTCCCGTTTCATGCAGGGACGAAACGGCTTAGGCCTTTCCGCCCGGCACAGATTCCTTTTTGAGACTTATTTTTCGGTTGGAAGGCCTGGCAGGCCATCCATTTGAGCCATTTAAGTCTGTCAGATAACTCTGAACCTTAAGCAGTTTTTTTTGGTGATCATATCCTCTCTTAGAGGACTGAGGATATGCAGGCTCTGTCAGCTCCTCTTGTATGGACTTTGCCCAGAGGCTGGTTAAGTCTTACTGCTGCCTAGGCTTAGTTAATCCTAATGCTGCTTCGACTAAGTTTTGCTTTCAGCAAGTGGTTAGAGGCTTTCTCCCCTGCTATGCGGGGTCAGATAGTGACTATATCTCTAGCCTATGAGGCGCGTGGTGTGACTTCGCCTCTAGAGGTGTGTGCTGATTCTACGAGAGCAATGGCTTCTTCTCAGGCTCTCTTTAAAGGTCCTTCGATGGGAGATGTCTGTGCTGTGGCAGGTTAGTCCTCTCCTAGCATTTTCATCAAGTTCTTCTTGTCTGGATGTGAGGATGGCTCTTGGCTAATGGGGTCTCTTCCGCTAGAGCAGACTCTTTCCTCAGTCTGCCAGCTATCTTAGGTATGTCAGGCGTTATGGTATAGCATTCCCATAGCGATGACATCATCGCAGCATTAAAGTGAACCTATGAAAGGGAACATCTTGGTTACGTATGTAACCTTGGTTCCCTGAATAGGGAACGAGATGCTGCTATGCTGGCCGTTCTGTACCTTCGATAGCGCTTCCTTCGCCATGAAAGAAGATCAACGCCTGCTTCTACATCACTGCCTGTTAAGCCCTGCCCACCGATTTGCGCATGTAGTGTAAATAGGAAGAGAGACAAATGCAGGTCTATGCTGAAACCTTAAAAGTGCCTCCGAAGACAACAAGACACTGTGCAGTGCCAAGTTGTGTAAAAACAGTCTTTGCATTGCCTTCCTTCTGATCCCAACATTAGGAAAGAGCGGATTAACTTTATTTTTAAGTTCCAGACCACATCAGTAAGAACTTGGTCCTTTATACACTTCATTTTACCATGGATTTGTTACAAACAAGGCAATTCTATGCAGGAACTTCAGAAAAATTGAAACTAAAAGATGATGCTGTGCCGACTATATTGGATCCGACAGTAATGTCGCTCCACACAAGTGTGAGTAACTGTTTTTGTTACATCGTCACTATTTCTTTGTCTGTTATTACAGATCGTTTGATATGTACTGAGTATTTATGCTTTTTTAACCTAAATCATGTCATCTGTGCATCTGTGAAGGATGTAGGCTGTCAAACATATACAACAGTTAGCCAAGCATACCAGTGGGCATTTCCATCATACAATCTACAATCTGCCACGCCTATTCAAGCAGAGCGTTCTGATGAGGGGGGTCAATACAGGTCAGAAAATAGACTATTACTTCTAAATTATGGGGTTTTTTTATGCAAAAATCTTGATAACATTGTAAGTGGACCTCCGAGAACAATACAAAATAATAAGAAAAAGGCAGTTCATGAACCCTTTAAACCATGTTCAAAACTTTTATCTTGGCAAGAGGAAACAAACAGACCAGCACTTCCCTATGTTTGATTCACTATCTATAAATATTCTGAATAAGTCTATTAAATGCCTTGAATGTAAATATCAATTAATTTAGTTCAGCTTTGCATTATACCATTTTACTCACTTTCCTGTGATCAGTGGGGTCCAACAATGAGGCAATTGACATCACTGTGTGTGGGGAAGTGTTGAGAGTAGCACAGTTGTAGATGCCATTTTTGGGGATTTTGTTAAACACTGGGGCATGTTTAGTGCTCTGGGCCTGTTGAATGGGTTCTACGTAAACTGCTACAGCACTGAAAGAGCTCCTGGGATGAAGCAATAATGTGTAATTTGTGACATAGTGCCCAGTGGCTGTTCAAACAGCTTTGAAAAACAGAAGGTTCTAAAAACTCTTTTCATAAAACACTGAAAAGTGGTTACATAAGCTTCAAAACAGTTTGCAGAACTGTTTTGAAGTTGCTAGTGCTTCATTGTGTTCTAACAAAGGCAAAAATTATAAAATAACATGCTGAGCCTATTTCAATTTGATATGCTTCAATGAGGTGTATTTGGACACAATTTTTGGTAACCATGGACACAATAACCATGATTCATGTGATGACGGAAAAGATGGCAAATTTGATGTTGACAGCAGGGCTTGCATGCCTACTCATTTTAAGGAATAGTTTAAGGAATAATTGACCCATGATTGACTACCCTGTTGAAAAAAACAGCATGCTGTTTAGGTATGTTTTGAACCATGGTAGCTGGTTTGAGCCTGTCCTTAGTTGGTCCTTATCTGGTCATGAGCTGGTAATGTGCTGGTCCTAAGCTGGTCCTAAGCTGGTCCTAAGCAACTAGATCCTGCTCAGGACTAGCTCATAACCAGCTTATATCCAGCTCAGGACCAGCATAAACCAGCTCATGACCAACTAAGGATCTGCTTAAACCAGCTCAAACCAGCTGCCATGCTTCAAAACATACCTAACCAGCATATGCTGTTCTTTTCTCAACAGGGTAGTCTATACAAACCCAGTGACATCTAAATTAACTGTAAGATATAGAAATAGCAGGTTAAATTGCATTCTGGGAACAAACCTGAGTTATTGGATTGGCTGCTGACCAGCACAGACAATGGAAGAGTAAATGGCTCCAATCGTTCCAAAGATCCATTTGAAGGCCATTGATGTGTTTCATTGTCACGTGCAACAACTTTTGACGAGAGTTTGGGAGGCTTTTGGGCCGTGCTGGCAAGTAATGTGAGTACAGAGGAAAATGCAGGTTGTTCCCTACTACCCTTTGACGAGCCTGTGGGATCTGATTGGACTACAGAAGCTGGATTCCTGTCTGTCATATGGAAGCCGCCAAACAAATGGGTTGAGGAGGGTGATGTGGCCGCATCCAGAAATGATCCAGAGGCTTCATGACTCAAATCATCTAAAAAGAGAGAAAGAGAATAATATAAATGTATCCCAGGGCAGTCCAATCTTTTCTTTTCAGAATCACAGTTTGTTCATTTTGAGGAAAACTTTTCTACACTGTAATTTCAATCTGCTGTTCAGAATTTGTTTCCTTGAGGAGATGGCGGCACTCAAAATTACAGCTCTCAACATGCTTTTGACAATACAAAATACTTTTTTCAACACATCAATAAATACGCTGATGCTGAAAGAACACTGAAAAGACCTGAAAGACATTACAGTCTCATATAAGGATGCTGAAGATGTAATTTGGGGTAAGATGTCAATCAGTCGTAATTTAAACAGAACTTTCTCAGCTATCATTAGTTTGGAACCACATTTTAAAAATGTTATGATAGTCAATATATTTGGGATAATACATATTCAGAGCAGTTATATTTTATAATGACATGTTGAATTCAACCAAGACAATATGCATGAAAAATGTATTAATCAAAGCAACGTCTAATCTTTGGATCACTAGTGACCAAGTGACCAAACGTATGTGTGTCACCATAGAATAGATGCTAAAAGATGAATGACTGATATAAAATTCACATTTATATGCTGACTGAACAGAGACCCTTCAAATAATTTTGCTGGCACCCATCCACAATTTACTTCTTTACCATTTTCCGCTGTCACTCTGATATGCTCAATATCTGGAGGCCTATCTGATTCATTCACAGGAATCTGCAAGCGCTGCATATTCTACACACTGTGTAATGTAGTTTTTTATGAATTCCTGACTCTAGCAAAATGAACTGCTTCACATACTGCATGCTGAATTGACAGGTTCCTCTGCATACAATAATGGCACAAATGACACCTAAATTCTGTAAAAATACAGCAATGATTAGTTAATAAACACAATACCATCCAAATCCAGTGAGAGCTGTGATATACAGTATAACATGTCAGCAGTCCTTTACATTAGGGCTGGGTGATTTAGACCAAAAATTGTTTGTCTATAATTTTATATGCTACACGATATAGGCATAGATCTCTGTATTTTCTATGAAATGGGTTAAATGTTCAGATTATCTCAACAGCCATTACAGTCTCCGGGCTCACAGTGTCCTGGACACCAATAGTTTAATGATTCAGAAAAGACAAATCATTGTTTGGTCAACAGAGACATCTGACAGGGTAAAGTCATAGGCGAAGCATGTGTAAGGCTGGGGAAGGCTTAGCTTAAAAGGCTTAAAAGGCCTTAAAAGGCTTAAAAATGGCACTAAATTTGACAAAAATGCCCCTGCACAAATAAATTCAATATATTACGTCTGTTGCTAACAAAGTGAATATGAATAGACAGTGTCGTCGATTGCGGCATTAAATTAAGATCTGCTCATGTTGCACCATATTTCATTTTAGGCGTTTTTACAGTGTTGCGCATTTGAACCAATCACACACAATTCTGTTGAGCTTAGGAATGCAATGGCTAATCAAAGGCGTTCAGATGAGTCATCGTTGAAACCGATCAGTTTTGTTGAGTGCGTGCGCGTTCGCTGACTGAATTCCGGACTCTTGCGAATTCTCTCATCATAAACAACAAAGTGCAGATGTAGGCCTACGTACAATGTAAGAGATTCATTTCACAGTGTACACAGCTTCAGTGATTATAACGATAGTTTTGTTTTTTTGAGAGTCCTTAAACTTGCGATAGATTAGTGATAATGTCACTTTCTATATATAATTTATTCGCTGTTTGAATAACCGTGGAAAGGAAACGTTATATAATTATCAATTTCTAACGTTTTTATTAAATTGTAATCGCGTTAAATACAAATTCAGTCCCATTAAACATTTTTTTTAGCCGACATGACACCCATGTCTGGTTCTTGCCTAAAAAGACGGGTTTATGATGTTTAATACATTTGGCTGCTTTTAGCCTTACCCTGGAGTTGGTTCACCCTCCACCTATGGGTAAAGTCTGTTAATATACTTATGTGTTAGTTTGAAATGCTTAATGTAAAGCAATTTCATGTTGGATGTGCACTATTTTTTAGATGCATTTACCAAACCAAACTTAACTATATTACTATAATCAGTATTGTCTCTGCTTATATATATATATATATATATATATTTTTTTTTTTTTTTTTT